GTTTTGGAGAAACTTGAAGAATTTTTTAACATTCGTAGCAAAGAAATTGAAGAATTAAGCGTACAAGGAACTAGTAGTCTCCTATTGTAACATTTCACATGCAATCGTCACTTTCGTTCTTTAAATAGGTAATCGAAACGGGGTCGGAACTCATAGAAATGAAAAAATTAAGCAAAAATCGGTGAAACTATCAGTATTTTATGATAGAAGCAAAGAAATCACTGTTTTATGCTCACGATGAGACGTTGAAAGCAAAACCAACTGCTGAGTCTGATTATTCGAATAGTGTACGAGAAAGAAGTAGCGTCTTACTGTAATATTTCACAGGGATGTAATTTGTCACTTTCGTTCTTTAAACAGGCAATCGAAACGGGGTCGGAACTCATAGAAACGAAAAAATTAAGAAAAAATCAATGAAACCATCAGTATTTTATGATAGAAGCAAAGAAATCACTGTTTTATGCTCACGATGAGACGTTAAAAGCAAAATCAGCTACCGAGTCTCATTATTCGACATGTTATTTAAGAAATTTTACTATATTTCACAATTTTGATATTTCTTACATTTCAAGAATTGCAAGAATTGCAAGAATATTGGAATCAAATGAAAAATATTGGAAACGACAGAAAAGGATGAAAAAAACTATCCTTTACTGAAGTCTAGAACCCTATAAATTATTTACAATCTTTTTCTTTTTGATTTGTCTTTCAATTGAAAAACCCAATCTCAGAATTTTTACCAAAAAATGAAAGACTTTTCATAGATTGCTTTTATTCATATTGAACCCTATAAATTATTTACAATCTTTTCTTTTTGATTTGTCTTTCAATTGAAAAACCAATCTGAGAATTTTTACCAAAAATTGATTTACTATATTCATGCATTGTTTTAATTCGTATTAACAAACCTATATATAAGTTCTCTTACGATTCTTCGACTCTCAAACAAACGAAAATAGATTGCTTAGTGTAATTTTAAACAAAAACGAGATCTACAGCGAAAACGAAAAACGAGATCGTTGAATATTTATTTCCAAACAACAGGATTTGTTATTCAAGGAAAAAGGACATTCTGACGCATGAAACATAACCTAAACGAACTAAAAAAATTGAATTGCATTTCACTGCAATGGAAGGTTTACTTTAGCAGACACGTGATACATATAAGTGTAAGGTCAGGTTGCAAAATAATGATTTGTTGAATTATGTGAATATTGAAATAACCTATTATAAAAATTGTGATCGTTTGAATTCCATCCAGAGGCAATTCCTTCCGTTTCTTGGGTATACAACTGCTTCTTTCCTCCCATAAAATTCATTTATACTAATTATTGAATTAAATAATAATTTGTTGAATCGTGATTTTTCACCTTGCTTTCTCCATGTTGGATTTATGGGGGCTTCACAAAATTAACACTCTGATAAACAGTTCGATATATATGTACGTTTAAATAAATTTGCAGGTTGATGAATTCGTATTGGAAAACACTATCGCACGATCGGGAAAAAAAATATATAGCTCCATTTAAAAAACGAAACTTCCATCATCGTATCTTTGAAATTAATAACATAAATAAAATTTCCGTTTACGCCGGAATAAAGATCATATTTTATCCTGCAATTTTCATGTAAACAATTTTTCCGTATCATCGATAGTTATTGCAGTATCGCGACTGTCACACTTTAGATTGGGACACCCTGTATATTTGTTTCTACATTGGGGCCATGTACACGCGTTCACTCGATCAGCGACCAGAAACCACTGCCTTTGTTCTCGGGCCCCGGGAACCGACTCGACTCGAACGCTCCCGAGCCCACCCGAATCGCCCCGAAGGCTCCCGAGCCTACCCGAATCGCGCACGGAAGACTTCGTTGCACCGCGCTCCTTTGTTCCAACACTCTACTATCAAGTTTACGTGGAGAAATTATTATAAATTATTATTTTTTTTTTTTATTTATTTGTTTAAAGTCGCATCAACCGCTAAGGGTTATTAGCGACCCGGAGAATACAATTTTTAGAGTTTGTTGTACAATTTGGTCATTTTGAGGTACTGTAATAGATTTTGGGTCGATGTGTTGTCCTTCAGATTGTCCTTTAGGGTTGGTTTTATGTATTATTATTATTCACTGTTTCCTTCTATTTAACAATACTAAATTTTTTGCAATTAATACTATATTTTCGGATCGCGGTGAATCTTTAATTACGAACGGGGACATTTTTATGTGCTCGTTGGGATTTGAGAATACAAAAAATGGCGTCGATTTCTTTCGTTCCGCCTCCGATAAGAATTCAAGGTCGAGCAATATTAGATCGTATTATATCACGAATTTGATAAATTCGGAAAAGCTGTAAAATTGATGATATTTGATCAAAACTACACCCTTCTTCCCAAGACATGTTTTTTTCATATTTTGAAAATAAATTGCTCACGAAATACGCACGTTAATACAATAAGTGACGCGATGAACAATATCAGTGGTAAATTTTATTTAAAATTCTATGCAGACTATCTCTTTGGGCGTCAATACTTTTGTTGTTTTTGTAACGAGTTGAATTGTTAACTGTTGTTAAGAAAGCATTGGCCACGTACAGTTATTTATAACGACGATATATTTTCGCGGTGGATCTCAATTTCAGCGCCATTTAATTCGTTTTCTTTCTCGTAACGAGACGGACGCTCTCAGTTATGGCGGCGACAGGTGGTTCGAGCAAATTATTCGTAGACGTGTTTTGGCAAGACAGAACTCTATGTATAGCGTACTCTATGTATATACGTTCTTGTTCCGTCTACAATACGCAAATAAGACGCTTTAAAAAGAAATTTCAATGAAATTTTGGTTTTCCATGTTAAAGAAGATCGAACGTATTTTAAATTTTCAATCTTTTCAATCGAACGGAAATTTTGTCCAATACTTTTTTGTAGGTACTCATGGGCTCTATTTCAGAAAAAAAGTTTCATCGAAATATATTCACTATTGTAGAAGTTATGGCTGTTTGAAAATTAGACCATTCTTATGAGGTCTTTTCTAATTTTAAAGGGTCAAGGAATAACTTTTCCGATATTATTAGAATTTCTACGTATTCTTCGCCAAAATACGCGTTGTTTGCCGTTTGAAACATTAAAATCCTCCAATCCGTTCAGAAGTTATGACGTTTTAATGTTTCAAGGTAGCATTTCTAACCTCAAATTAGATTTTCTGTAAGGAATTTTTTTTCTCGAAAATGCGTTGGAATTCGGGTATATGTGTAATGACCAAAAATGCTTGTAATTGACCTCTGCAACTAAATATAATTTTTTTAGTACGATTCGACATTTTTTAATTTCGTTTAAAAATTTCAGAAACTACTCGAATTTTTTTCTCGAAAATTGTTAGGATTTCGAGGTTATGTCTGTTGACCAAAAATGATTATAATTGAACCCTGCAATCGAAAATAATTTTTCTAGAGTGTTCTGATAATTTTCAATTTCGCCGAAAAATTTAGGCACCTACTCGAATTTTTTTCTCGAAAATGGTTAGGATTTCGAGGTTATGTCTGTTTACCAAAAATGATTGTAATTGACCCCTGCAATCGAAAATAATTTTTTCAGAACGATTAAAAATTTTTCAATTTAATTGTTTAATAACTTTTTAGCGAAACCTAAATCAACAAATTGATATTCTTGATTTTCGTCTTATGCTAGCCTCTAGAATCTCCCATTCAAATTTCAAATACTCGAATTTCCATGCATCATATTTTGCTCAATAAATAAAAACAACACACAACGCTATAAAACAGCGAATGATAATAATAATTTGTCGACAGTAATTATTAGAACTCTTCCAATAAATGTCATCTATTATGTACTCAAATTTCTATATGTTTTTCTCCTCATAAAATCGTAATAATAACAAAAATATGGCGCTGTAAAGGAGCTAGTCTGTAAGCAATTTTAGTCTCGTTGCAAGAAACTTGTAAATCAGCCATTTTGTTCCTAAATTGCTATCAAAGTATAGGATAAGGTTGTATAAGATTCAATTCCCTAAAAGCTTCAAAACACACACACAAACAAACAAACACAGACACACACACGCAAACATACAAACATACAAACACACACACAAACACATACAAACATACAAACACACACACACACACACACATACAAACATATAAACATACACAAACACACACACCCACACACATACAAACACACACACACATACAAACATACAAACACACACACACATACAAACATACAAACACACACACACATACAAACACACACACACATACAAACACACACACACACATACAAACATATAAACATACAAACACACACACACACACACACATACAAACATACAAACACACACACACACGCACACATACAAACATATAAACATACAAACACACACACACATACAAACATATAAACATACACAAACACACACACCCACACACACGCACACATACAAACATATAAACATACAAACACACACACACATACAAACATATAAACATACACAAACACACACACCCACACACACACACATACACGCTCACACAAACACACACATACACTCACACAAACACACACTCACACAAACACGCGCGCACACACACACACACACATACAAACACACACATACACACTCACACAAACACACACACACTAACAAACTCACAAATACACACACATACCAACACACACATACACACTCACACAAACAAACACACAAATACACACACATACACATACACACTCACACACACACACACAAACAAACACACAAACACTCACACAAACAAACACAAATACACACACATATACAAACACACGCACAAACACACACACAAACACACAAACACTCACACAAACAAACACAAATACACACACATATACAAACACACACACAAACACACAAACACAGACGCACAAACACACAAACACAGACGCACAAACGCGCAAACACACACAGAAAGCCAATGAACGCCAAGACCAGGAGAAAGGACTCACCTGAGGCGTCCATACGGATGGTTGATTGGACGCCCTCGAGGTGCTCTTGCTCCTGGACCGCCATATCTTCTTGGCCACCAGCCGGCTGCCGTGATGCACCACGCTGCTCGACGACTTGCTCTTCTGCATCGCTGTGCCACCTGCGGAATTTGTCGACGACGAGGTCAGTGCCGGGGAACCGGGCGCGGAGTGCGGTTTGTCCTTGTGCGCGTTGGAACCGTGCAGGAGATGGGAAAGAAAGGACTGATGGTGGTGTTTAGGTGTTAGCGGTTCCTCGGAACCTAGGCCAGCGTCTATGCTGCTCCTCGAGCTAGCGTTTCTGCTCGGCGGCGAGGTGGTCGTGTCTGCGTCCGAAAGATTCTCGAACGGATTCTCCACAGAGGACATTTCCCTGTAATTAACAGCCCAAGTGTCCTCGGTTTGGCAACCCTTGTTGTTGCCATCATCATCACTCAGTTTGGTCGTCTCCCCTTTTGCCTTTATGTTACGAAGATTCCTGTCGTAATTCACCCTTTTGAACCTGTCTACTTTATCAGCGTCCATCGACTTCTTCCTGGCCATTCGAAGGTACCTCTTAATCGTATCGCTCACAGAGGGCGACACGTCGTCATTGTCCACGCTGCTGCGCCTGCGTCCACTGGACTTCTGACTGGACTCCTCCTTCTCCCTTTCCAGGAGGATAGCGTCGAGGACTTCCCTGGGGACAGGATCAGTCTGAACACCATCATCTATGGGTCCTCTGTCAGTGCTAGGCTCTTGCACAGCTATCAGAGGCGGTGGCGAGAAAGGATCGCGATTCCCTCCTCCTAGGAGGTCCCTTCTAGCGGAGAACCAATCCTCAGACTCGGGGGGCAGTCTGCTTCTCTGGTGGGTCCACCAGCTGGACGGCGAGGTGTAAGCACCGGTGGCCCTAGGCCCTCTGAACCCCCTGGTGCACCTCAGATCGAAGTACAACTTCTCTAGAAGCTTCCTATCCGTCAGGATATCAGAGATCACGCGCTCCCGGGTCCCAGACTTGCTGTAGTAGCGACTGATAGTCTCCATAAGCGACTTGTGCACGTAATCGCCCTGATACGGCTGCATAGACTTGGGAACCTTCTGAACATCCTTATCAGAAGTGGACCTCTGCACGGAGAGCTCGTCAAGCTTGGCGTGAGCTACCATCAGGTCCAGGTGCTGCTGGAGCCTGTCTATCAGGCTCTGATAGTCGAAAGGCTCCGACCTTCCCGTCTTAGTCGTTCCAGCGACGTCACTTTGCATGTTCAGGTACTTCTGAAGCATATCAGCCAACGCCTTGGCCTCAGCGTCCTCCTGATGGAGCTTCCTGCGCTCCACAGGACTCGACGGAGTGCTCCCCCCATCAGACGCCAAAAGCCACTCCCGTTTCGCTTTCGCGAGGTCGAACTTCCCAGCGGTGGTAGTGCGGAGCACGAAACCACGCGGTGGACTCCTCGAGTCGTCCGCCTCGTCCGCCGAGCTGGCCTTCGTCCGACAACTGCCGCCCTTTATCAGCCTGCGACGCCTCTGAGCACGGAACCCCAGCGTCCCCGGATAGGACGCCTTCCTCCACAGCAGAAACCTAGGCTCCCTCTGACAAACTTCTTGAAAGTATTGCTCGATCCTAGGGATGTCCTCGGGCCTGTTGTGAGCGCCATCAGGGATCAAGCGTCTCCCAGCGTCCGCCATGTAACGCCAGGTCTTCCTCGTGAGCAGCCATCGCTCCTTGGAAGGCTTGCTCGACCGTTTGGCCCTTCGATCCCTGGAGCCTGGCGGTGTGCCTCTCACGGAGCTCGTGGTGTCCGTGCTGTCGCGACGGGAACGTCTTCTCACCCCAGGACGCTCCGCCATCGTCGCGTCCTTTTCCTTCCTCGCCACGCGAACCACCTTCGCGGAATCGTTTCCACCGTTCCCCACACAGAATCACCGATCCACGCACGGGCCACTCGGAGAACACTATACCATTCCTGGACACATTCGAACGGCGTTCGACACTGCACTTCCACACTGGCGAATCCCAGTCACGGACGATGGCGAGTCTTGGGCTCTTTGCGTGGAGGTTCCCTGGGGTACAGAGCTGATCCCACCGCGGGCGGTTGGGTTCTGGCGAGGCTGGGTCAGAAATGACCCTCTCGAGAGTTTGGAACACTGGGAGCCACTTGTTCCTCGAGTTGCAGTGAGAACAATCTCGAGCTCTTGGGCGAGAAACTGATCCTGGCTCTCCCGGTTCCCCGTATCGCGCTTATTTTTATAGCGAGCCGTGACTTTACGGTTCTTTTTACGCCGACTAGCCCGCGTTCACAAGCTCCAACAGGCTCCAGATTAATATAGACCTCGGGGGGCGCGTACTTTTCCTCAAAATCGCGATCCACGCGTTCCACGATCTTCCTCGGAGACTTCACTGAATTTTTGCAAGTTTTAGGCGTTCACCAAAGGTTGAGTAGTCCTTGCTTTTTGGAGGGTCTTCCGGGTTCCAGAGCAGAGCAGAGCAGAGGAGAATCGCGTTACGTTGGGGCCGCGAGCCGGCAAGGTGGAGGCTGCCTAAGGTACGCGACTACTGCTTCTCAAGGCGTCGCGACGCTCGTGGACGCTCCGTGTCTAAAAGCGTCTTTTGCCCCCTCTCTCCTCGGTGGCTCTCAGGCAGAAGAAGCGGAAGAAGGGTCGAGAGAGAGAGACGATGGCGGGGAGGGACCTGGAGCTGAGGAGGAAGGCGGATGCCTCGGGTCTAGGGTACCTGGGGATGTCGACGTTGTCATCGTTTGCCAAATACCGACGCCTTCTGGCGACTATGTGCCACTAACCATATATCTCGTAGCACGATACCGCCTTGAGGATTTGTTTATAACGATCAGGCAGACGGTCAGCGCGTTGAGATGCTTTTCAAGCGTTCAAACGTCCCACTTTGAGGAGCTTGGGAACTGATGACGAAGTCTGATACTCTAAATACTCTTTTTCCTCACGTTTTAGGGTTTAGTGTTGCTCATTTTGCTTTTCCTTTGCTTACAACGCCCTAGTTTGATGAGCTTGAGGATGACGACTAAGTCTGACAATGAAAATACTCTTTTTTCCTCCATTTTTAGGGTTTCGTGTTGCTCCTTTTGCTTTTGCTTTTGCTTACAACGTCCCACACTTTGATGAGCTTGGGAGATGACGACTGAGTTTGATACTCTAAATACCCTTTTTCCTCCATTTTTAGGGTATCATGTTGCTCCTTTTGCTTTTGCTTTTGCTTTTGCTTACAACGTCCCAAACTTTGATGAGCTTGGGAGATGACGACTGAGTTTGATACTCTAAATACTCTTTTTCCTCCCATTTTTTGGGTATCATGTTGCTCCTTTTGCTGTTGCTTTTGCATTTGCTTTTGCTTTCTGACCTTTTTGCTTTGCTTCTGAGGCAATGCTTGAGGAGAATAGTGATTTTGGAGGGGTGAAGTGAACTTTGACATGGATCGGGGAACAGAGTAGTAAAGTCTGGTAAATTGCAGGGGATTCTAGAGACGATATCGATTCAGTTTGCCAAACGCTATAAGAAATTCCTGGCGGACGTGCAATTTCTAAATTCGTCGGTTCAAGCAACTCTGCGAGGGAACTTTTGTCCGAGCGAATTGTGCACTGGGTGGTCCCCGGAAAAAACGCGTGAATAATTTGGAATACGGAAAAGGTGTAGTGGCGAGCAGAGTAGGGTAGCTTGGTAGGAATTAATTTCGGTAAATGTTCTACGTCGAGACTGTTTGGGACCCTTTCTCTGCTAATTTTTTTAGGGATCAATTGAGTTTTTCGGGTTTGTTGCATTCATTGTTCTCGGCATTGTTTACTATTGCGGGAGTGTAGATATGTTCACGTGGAATAGTCTTTCTTTTCTGACTCTAGAAACACGATTAGTAAAGTGTTGTATTATAATGAGTCTATAAGTGCAATTACTAAAGTGTTGTATTATAGAGTCTATAAATGCAATTACTAAAGTGCTGTATTATAGACTCTATAAATGCAATTACTAAAGTGTTGTCGATTCTATAATTGCAATTACTAAAGTATTATAGATTCTATAAGTACAATTACTGATGTGTTATATTCTAGACTCTATCAGTGCAATTACTAGAGAGTTATAGACTTTAGAAGTACGATTACTAAAGTATAATATTATAGACTCAATAAATGCAATTACTAAAGAGTTATAGATTCTATAAATGCAATTACTAAAGTGTTATAGGTTCTATAAACATAATTACCAAAGTGTTGTATTATAGACTCTAGAAGTACAATTCCCAATGTGTTATATTAAACACTATATAAGTGCAATTACTAAAGTGTTGTCGATTCTATAATTGCAATTACTAGAGTATTATAGATTCTATAATTACAGTTACTGAAGTGTTATATTCTAGACTCTATCAGTGCAATTACTAGAGTGTACTAGACTCTATAAATGCAATTACTAAAGTATTATATTGAAGACTCTATAAATGCAATTACTAAAGTATTATATTATGGACCCTATAAATGCAATCACTAAAGTATTATATTATAGACTCAATAAATGCAATTACTAAAGTGTTATAGATTCTATAAATGCAATTACTAAAGTGTTATAGATTCTATAAATATAATTACTAAAGTGTTGTATCATAGACTCTAGAAGTACAATTCCCAATGTGCTATATTAAACACTGTATAAGTGCAATTACTAAAGTGTTATAGATTCTATAAATATAATTACCAAAGTGTTGTATTATAGACTCTAGAAGTACAATTCCCAATGTGCTATATTAAACACTGTATAAGTGCAATTACTAAAGTGTTGTCGATTCTATAATTGCAATTACTAAAGTATTATAGATTCTATAATTACAATTACTGAAGTGTTATATTCTAGACTCTATCAGTGCAATTACTAGAGTGTTCTAGACTCTATAAATGCAATTACTAAAGTATTATATTGAAGACTCTATAAATGCAATTACTAAAGTATTATATTATAGACCCTATAAATACAATTACTAAAGTATTATATTATAGACTCAATAAATGCAATTACTAAAGTGTTATAGATTCTATAAATGCAATTACTAAAGTGTTATAGATTCTATAAATATAATTACTAAAGTGTTGTATCATAGACTCTAGAAGTACAATTCCCAATGTGCTATATTAAACACTGTATAAGTGCAATTACTAAAGTGTTATAGATTCTATAAATATAATTACCAAAGTGTTGTATTATAGACTCTAGAAGTACAATTCCCAATGTGCTATATTAAACACTGTATAAGTGCAATTACTAAAGTGTTGTCGATTCTATAATTGCAATTACTAAAGTATTATAGATTCTATAATTACAATTACTGAAGTGTTATATTCTAGACTCTATCAGTGCAATTACTAGAGTGTTCTAGACTCTATAAATGCAATTACTAAAGTATTATATTGAAGACTCTATAAATGCAATTACTAAAGTATTATATTATAGACCCTATAAATACAATTACTAAAGTATTATATTATAGACTCAATAAATGCAATTACTAAAGTGTTATAGATTCTATAAATGCAATTACTAAAGTGTTATAGATTCTATAAATATAATTACTAAAGTGTTGTATCATAGACTCTAGAAGTACAATTCCCAATGTGCTATATTAAACACTGTATAGGTGCAATTACTAAAGTGTTATAGATTCTATAAACATAATTACCAAAGTGTTGTATTATAGACTCTAGAAGTACAATTCCCAATGTGTTATATTAAACACTATATAAGTGCAATTACTAAAGTGTTGTCGATTCTATAATTGCAATTACTAGAGTATTATAGATTCTATAATTACAGTTACTGAAGTGTTATATTCTAGACTCTATCAGTGCAATTACTAGAGTGTTATAGACTCTATAAATGCAATTACTAAAGTATTATATTGAAGACTCTATAAATGCAATTACTAAAGTATTATATTATGGACCCTATAAATGCAATCACTAAAGTATTATATTATAGACTCAATAAATGCAATTACTAAAGTGTTATAGATTCTATAAATGCAATTACTAAAGTGTTATAGATTCTATAAATATAATTACTAAAGTGTTGTATCATAGACTCTAGAAGTACAATTCCCAATGTGCTATATTAAACACTGTATAAGTGCAATTACTAAAGTGTTATAGATTCTATAAATATAATTACCAAAGTGTTGTATTATAGACTCTAGAAGTACAATTCCCAATGTGCTATATTAAACACTGTATAAGTGCAATTACTAAAGTGTTGTCGATTCTATAATTGCAATTACTAGAGTATTATAGATTCTATAATTACAGTTACTGAAGTGTTATATTCTAGACTCTATCAGTGCAATTACTAGAGTGTACTAGACTCTATAAATGCAATTACTAAAGTATTATATTGAAGACTCTATAAATGCAATTACTAAAGTATTATATTATGGACCCTATAAATGCAATCACTAAAGTATTATATTATAGACTCAATAAATGCAATTACTAAAGTGTTATAGATTCTATAAATGCAATTACTAAAGTGTTATAGATTCTATAAATATAATTACTAAAGTGTTGTATCATAGACTCTAGAAGTACAATTCCCAATGTGCTATATTAAACACTGTATAAGTGCAATTACTAAAGTGTTATAGATTCTATAAATATAATTACCAAAGTGTTGTATTATAGACTCTAGAAGTACAATTCCCAATGTGCTATATTAAACACTATATAAGTGCAATTACTAAAGTGTTGTCGATTCTATAATTGCAATTACTAAAGTATTATAGATTCTATAATTACAATTACTGAAGTGTTATATTCTAGACTCTATCAGTGCAATTACTAGAGTGTTATAGACTCTATAAATGCAATTACTAAAGTATTATATTGAAGACTCTATAAATGCAATTACTAAAGTATTATATTATAGACCCTATAAATACAATTACTAAAGTATTATATTATAGACTCAATAAATGCAATTACTAAAGTGTTATAGATTCTATAAATGCAATTACTAAAGTGTTATAGATTCTATAAATATAATTACTAAAGTGTTGTATCATAGACTCTAGAAGTACAATTCCCAATGTGCTATATTAAACACTGTATAAGTGCAATTACTAAAGTGTTATAGATTCTATAAATATAATTACCAAAGTGTTGTATTATAGACTCTAGAAGTACAATTCCCAATGTGTTATATTAAACACTATATAAGTGCAATTACTAAAGTGTTGTCGATTCTATAATTGCAATTACTAGAGTATTATAGATTCTATAATTACAGTTACTGAAGTGTTATATTCTAGACTCTATCAGTGCAATTACTAGAGTGTACTAGACTCTATAAATGCAATTACTAAAGTATTATATTGAAGACTCTATAAATGCAATTACTAAAGTATTATATTATGGACCCTATAAATGCAATCACTAAAGTATTATATTATAGACTCAATAAATGCAATTACTAAAGTGTTATAGATTCTATAAAT